ATGATGTTTCGAATTCGTGACTGTAAAAGGCGCATACTATCCCTCTATTATCAAAAAAATTCCAGTGATCTTTTCTGTCTACCAGGTCACAAAAACATTCGCACTGAACTCGAAAGTGCTCGGCCTAATGATTTATCTACAGCAATAAAGAGACATCGCGAATGGGATAAAAATATTATTTCATATAAACTTGATCAATCACCTGCTGTAATATCATTTCTTGAAGTTGAGCATTGAAAACGCCTTTTTGCAAAAAAATTCATTGAGATATCATGTAATCTTATTGCCAGTACAGGCGCTTCTCTTCAGCTAATAAAAATGGATAAGAGCCGAGGAGTTATAGGGAATCGTAAAAAAGTCCGCAACGAGATTAGGGTTAAAACATTAGTTATTAAGAATACAGATTTTAACGTAGTTGCTACTTCCCCAAATCTTAGTCCTGAAGAAGCTGAAGTCCTTAAATTCGACCAAGAGCGTTCTATCGCAGATACTATGGCACTTAAACGTTTTTATATGCGAAATCTTTATTGCAAAGACATGAGTATTGAGAATTGGAATAATATTTGCAATAGAAAATTTGTTGATAATTTCAGTTCACCCGAAGCTCGAAAGCATTTCTTACGATTGTCTTATTTTCGAAGGTAAGGTCATAATGAAGAGAGCGCAATAAAGGGATTGAAAGCTGAAGAAAATGTACAATGGGAATTTGCCTGCTATAGATCCGAAGAGAATCTGGAAAAATCAGTAGCAGAGGACTTGCGTAAATCATATTCAGCTAATCATTAGAAGGCTATAAGAGAACTCTTTCAAATATTAGGCTTTACCGACATTGATGATAAATGTATCCTTCCTGGTAATATTGTATCAGAAGCATTCGTGCAATCCTGTGAAAAGTTTATAGAAATCTGTAATCAGTCCTTATTGCTCTTTGGTTTTAAGTCTCATGCTAAGACAACACCAGATTTTAATTCGGCTATAAAGGCAATCAATGCAATTGCTGGTAATTGGTGTGGCTATACTATTAAAAGTGATAAAAAAAGAATAGGACCTAAGGGATAACAAGTTTGGCAATACTCATATCAAATTAATCACTGGCCATATAACGGTACTGGTTTTGGAGATAAAGGTGCACCAGAACTTCCACCATACAGGCTGAAAACAGATAATAATATTCAGGAACTCTTTGACTCTATAGAATAGGAAAAATAATACTTGGGCCAGATTATTATTTAGCTAAGTATCTTGATCACATCAGATGGGGTCACTAAAGTAACTATTGATTCTGTTTCAGTTTTTTTACTTTCGCGCCAGGCATGGTCATAAATTCCACCATGTGTGCTACAGATTCTGGTCTTGGAATAGGTTCGCTCATTACAGATAGGACATATTTTTTTAGGACGGGCATTAAAATGTCTGGCACATCCTAAATCACTCATGCACCCTTTCCCACAAATCTTACCATCTCTCTTGATGTATTGGCAGATAAAACGACCCATATGAGGTAATTTTGATATTAATAACCTTAAAACTTCACTTTCACTTTTATTATAGATATTCAAAATCCTACTCACTCTTTTTGCGATTCTCTAGCCAGTTTTTCTTATACATTATACGAAAGTCAGTCTGAGAATTGATTGGCCTATTACAGGATGCGCACATTTTATTTGGTAAAGACTTATAGTGTCTGATACAGTATCTTTTCCCGTAGATAGACCCATCATTTTTCTTGTTTAGGCAAGGCCAAGTTGGGTAATTCTCGTCCTCTGAATCAGATATGTATTCACCAAAGAGACCAAATGCCATAGTACTTCTTTCTGAAAAGTTTTTAAGATTAATATACGCCAAACTTCTCTTCATTTTTTATTATAGATATTCAAAAATGTAGCTCTGAAGAAATTTTTCGAATTGAACTTTTTCTCACATAATATAACTAGATAACAGTTAGTATTGACATGGCTACCAAAACAGCTACCCCAAAGACCCGAAAACCCAAAACTAATAACCATGTCGGCATCTTAGAACAGTTCCTAAAAAAGCATAATTTGTCGGCTGACTCTACCCCAGAACAATTAAGTAAACATGCTACCGAACTTGATGCTTTGCTTCCTCCTGATTGGATGGCCCGCAGGTGTGTTAAAGTTGCCCTTGCCAAAGGTACTGAAAACAGATGCTTATTTAGTAAAGAGCGGATAGAGGCTCTCTTACCAGATAAGAGAAAGAAAAACCTCACCATAGAGGGGAGAGCAGAATTCTGCGCTACAGCTGGTGATGCTATGGATATTTTCACCCATCATCTAGACTTAGGTCCGAAAAATAAAGATGAAAATGAAATTGTTGCCAGCGTCTCACGTCAGTCAAAATTCCGTGTGAAGTTAGCAGAAGGTGATGTAAATCCTGCAATTATTGAAGAATTTGCCAAAGATAAGAAACTTATTCAAGATTCTAATAAAATTCAGAAAGAACAAACT